CTCGAGTGCTTTCACTGAAACTGAGAAGGGGGTGTTCTTGGGATTGCTGTGCTGGGCAGCCTGCCTGGAAGCCAGCTGTGCTCCCGCCAGGGCAGCTTCCCCAGCCCCGGCCAGAGAGTGCTGAGCTGGAGGCCTCTGGCGTGCTCCTCCCACCTCACCCCACCCCCAGACTGGGGCTCATCTCTGTTCCAGCTACCTCCCGCTTTGGCTCTCTCCCCAGTCCTGCTCCCGCCCCTTCCTCCCATCGCTCCTTCCTGGCTACAGCCAGATTCCAGCCCCAACTCAGCTGGGCCTGGCTTGAGGGAGTCACCTTGTTCTGTCGGTCAGTCCCCCAGCTGGCCTTGCCCAGTGCCTGTCTGAGGACCCCTGTTTTGATCACCAAGCTCAGTGGGCATGGGGAGGACCTAGGAAGGCTGTGCTCCATGCTCCCCCCAGCCTACTTATGGGCCTGGCCACTCTGGACAGTCTGCTCCCTGCTCCTCCCCCACAGTGTGGCTGGCTACCCAAAACCACAGCACCCTGGTGACAGAGCGCAGCGCTGTGCCCTTCCTGCCTGTTAACCCTGAATACTCAGCAACACGGAATCAGGTGAGGAGGCTTGGTGGGGTGGCCTGGGGCTTTCCTTCCTTCCTTTCTGGGGTCTCCAGCTCCGTGGGCTCTGCCCTTCCCTGCCGGCTGTTGTCCAGAACTGAGCCTGTTCTCCACCCCCGGCCAAGGCCTCCCTCCAGGCCCGGCTGGCACTGGGATTTGGGAGTGAGGCAGAGGTGGTTCTTTTGAGCACTTGGTGAGCAGCCTCTGGAGGCTGGGCTCCTGCCTCTTCCTGAGAACCAGGCCCCAGGCCCCTGAATCTGTGCCAGACCTCACCCCTTGTTCTGGTCAGGTGAGCCGGGCTGGCGTGTTTTGGCTGTGGTTATAGCAGACAGCAGAGGGCCCCTCATGCCTGTCTGGCCCTTTCTCCTCACAGGGGCGACAGAAGTTGGCCCGCTTTAATGCCCGAGAGTTTGCCACCTTAATCATTGACATTCTCAGCGAGGCCAAGCGGAGACAGCAGGGCAAGAGCCTGAGCAGCCCCACAGGTAGGAAGGGTGAGGATGGAGGTGCGGGTGGTGGGCACTGTTCCAGGATATTCTCTTTCATGGCTCCCTTTCTGGAGTAGCATGATAGATGGGTTGTGTGGCTGAGCCCTGAATGACAGGCCTGTGCCCTCAGACAACCTCGAGCTGTCTGCGCGGAGCCAGAGTGACCTCGACGACCAGCACGACTACGACAGTGTGGCCTCAGACGAGGACACAGACCAGGAGCCCCTGCGCAGCGCCGGCGCCACGCGGAACAACCGAGCCCGGGTCTGAGCACTGCACCTCCCTGGTTCCTCTCCAGGCCTCCATCAAGGCCCAGCTCTATCCTCTTGTAGCCCAGGGCCTGGGGGACAAGTGGGCTTGTCACAGCTTTGAGAGTACCCCTCTGGGGGCATTTGTCTCCTGCCCCTGGTGGCTAACTGGCTTGTGTCTCACCCCGCAGAGCATGGACTCCTCAGACCTGTCTGACGGGGCCGTGACGCTGCAGGAGTACCTGGAGCTGAAGAAGGCCCTGGCTACCTCCGAGGCAAAGGTGCAGCAGCTCATGAAGGTCAACAGTAGCTTAAGTGATGAGCTCCGGAGGCTACAGAGGGAGGTGAGGGCTATAGCCTAGGGGGGAGAGGAGGCTCCCGGGGCCCCAGTGGGGAGACGGGACTGGTGCCTGGACCCTCTGGAGTTTCTGACAGCACTTCACTCTCAGATCCACAAGCTGCAGGCAGAGAACTTGCAGATCCGACAGCCGCCTGGCCCAGCACCCACGCCCCCTCTCCCCAGCGAACGGGCAGAACACACATCCATGGGGCCTGGTGGGAGTGCCCACCGCAGGGATCGCCAGGCCTTCTCCATGTATGAACCAGGCTCCGCCCTGAAGCCCTTTGGGGGCCCACCTGGGGATGAGCTTGTCACCCGGCTACAGCCTTTCCACAGCACTGTGAGTTGCCAACTTGAGGTGGTGGGGAAACGGGGCTGGCTCTGCCCCAGGGCCCTTCGTGATACCCACTGTGCTAACCCCCAGGAGCTGGAGGATGACACCATCTATTCAATGCACGTCCCTGCCGGCCTTTACCGGGTAAGCAGTTCCTGGGGCAGGTGGGTTCATTTTTGCAAATAGGTTCTGAACCCCAATGTGTGCCAGGCTTTGTGCTGGAGGCTTCATGCACAGGGGTGGCTGGACGTAGGCAGTTCCCACCCTCAGTGCGGGGAAGCTGGAAGGTGGGTCACAGGGAGGAGCGACTGACTCCAGCCCTCCTGGGTTTCAGATCCGGAAGGGGGTTTCAGCCTCAGCTGTGCCCTTCACTCCGCCCTCCCCACTGCTGTCGTGCTCCCAGGAAGGAAGCCGCCACACGGTAACATCTCATCCCCTGAGCCGAGGGACAGGCTGAATGGGATGTGTGCAAGCGAGGGGATGGGAGGCTTGTGGGTCTGTGAGTGTGTACCTCACCTCCCCTCCTTCCCTATACCTTCCAGAGCAAGCTTTCCCGCCACGGCAGCGGTGCTGACAGTGACTATGAGAACACGCAGAGTGGGGACTCCCTGCTCGGGTGAGGCATGCAGGTAGTGGGAGGTCAGGTGGGCCCTGGAGCATCTGAGGGCACAGACCAGAGATCTCATGCCTGGAATGTCTCTCTAACCCTGGGCCTCAGGCTGGAAGGGAAGAGGTTTCTAGAGCTGGGCAAGGAAGAGGACTTCCACCCAGAGCTGGAAAGCCTGGATGGAGACCTGGATCCCGGGCTTCCCAGCACTGAAGACGTCATCTTGAAGACCGAGCAGGTCACCAAGAACATTCAGGAACTGTTGCGGGCTGCCCAGGAATTCAAGCATGACAGGTATGGGGTGGGATGCATGCTCACATAGCCTGTGGGTTTGCAGAGGACCAGAGAGGGACCAGTGTCCCACTCCACGGTCCTGGGGACCTTCCCTGAGAGCCCCCTAATTATATTTTCTCCTCCCCTACAGCTTTGTGCCCTGTTCTGAGAAGATCCATTTGGCTGTGACTGAGATGGCCTCTCTCTTCCCAAAGGTACAGGGGCCAGAGAGAGGAGCAGGATCAGGAGGGGCTGAGGGTGGGGCAGGTGTAGGGAATCTGCTGCCTGGGTGGAGACAGGGATACTACCCAGACGTGACCAAAGTTCAGGGTTTAAACAAGGAGGCCCAGCTCCCTCCTTCCTCCCTCCAGAGACCAGCCCTGGAGCCTGTACGCAGCTCTCTGCGGCTGCTCAACGCCAGCGCCTACCGGCTGCAGAGTGAGTGCCGGAAGACAGTGCCTCCGGAGCCTGGCGCCCCGGTGGACTTCCAGCTGCTGACTCAGCAGGTGATCCAGTGCGCCTACGACATTGCCAAGGCCGCCAAGCAGCTGGTCACCATCACCACCCGAGAGAAGAAGCAGTGACCACTCTCCCTGTACCCTCACCTACACCCTGGGACCTCACTGGCCATGGGAGCTGGGCTACTCTGACACTAATCCCCACCCCAACAGAGCCGCTGGCGCAAGTGCCCTTAGTGCTGCCACTCTCCCCTGGCAGCCAGGCACCCTGGTGCCCGCTCCCCTCAAGCCCCCAAGGATGGGGAGGTGGGGTGGCAGGAGCTTCTGTCCCCCACATTCCATGCACCTCCCCCTGTACATAGCATCCCCTCCCCTTCTAGTGTGCAGGGGCCTGTATGGCATCACTCCCAGCCCCTTGCCCTCCGGGGCACCCTCAGTAAAGGGTCAGGTGGGGACACTCCAAGTGGGGTGGCTCCCCTTACATGCATCCCACCCCCATGAGCCAGTTCAGCCCTACTAGGGGCTGAGTGGGGGCATCTCCTTCCTTTGTACATAATCTCTGTGGATGTGGCCACCAGCCCCCACGCTGCTCTCCTTTAATGCCAAACGGCCCCTGCCTAGGGCATAGGTGCCAGCCTGTGTTCCCGGGGTCCCCGGCAGCAAACACTGGAAAATCCCCCCCCCTTTACCCCTTAATTTTAACCTTGTGGTAACTGAGTGTCCCTGCGTGCCTGCGTGCGAGTGTGCGGGGCGGCAGTGCCGTTCCAGAGGCCTGGCCAATACGGAGTTTGAGGGGTGAGGGGACCAGAGCAGCAGGACCAGCATTGGGGGTCATCCCCCCTCACCCATCCTGGGGCCAGGGATCACCAGAGTAACCAACTGGGGTCCTGCCCACTGCCTCCCCTCGTTACTCCCATCACTTGTTCCCCTTCTTTATGAACTTACAATGGAAACCACTTCCCTCCATCTCTCCTCCCTCTCCCTTGTGGAGGGGGAGTGTGCTGGCTGGGGCAGAGAACTGAGCACCTGAACCTGGGGCTGGCTCCCCGGGGTCCCTGACTCAGCTGAGAGGCCCCTCCCTATAACCTCTGAGAGGCTAGCACCTGTGCCTGTGGTGTCTGGGTACCTGGAACCTGGGCTGCAGCCTGGGAAGGCTGGAGAGGCAGATGGCAGCACCCACCAGCTCTTCTCCCCGTCCTGCCTCTGTCCCCGGGGGCCAGGCTCTACCTGTGTGGTGGTGGGTGGGCTGACTGTCAGGATGTGTATCATGTACATTTGTATCAAAAATAAATAAGTGACCATGTGCTGTTTCTGGTACTTAGAGAATTGAGGAGAGAGAGACTGGGAAGGGGGCAAACATGAAAGGGAGGACAAATCTGTCAGCAGCACGAAGCCAGTGAGTACAACCGCTCCCGTCCACATGCTGCATATGGGAAGCCCTCTTGTCTCTTAGAGGGGCTTGGAGCAGTACTACCACCCCCTCCATTCTCCACAGTAGTGGGAGGGGTTCCCCCACACTCCTAAAACCCTACCTTTCCTGCCAGGTTGGCAATGCCCACCTTGATTTTATAAACTCCCTGCCTCACACACAACCTAAGTGGCCCAGAGCAGTGTCCTGGGTGGGTGTGTCCGTATGGCAGATGAACAAACTTAACACCAGGTTCTACTAAAATAATTTAATTAAAAATACAGTTTTGGCAAGGGAAGCTAAATAGCTCCTTTTTCTCCCCTTGGTTACCCCTGCCCTCAAACACATTAAGGGCCAACCTTTGCAGATGCTTAGGCAGGACTGCCCCATCAGGCCACCAGGGGGCAGCCCTGCGTGTGGTCCACGTGGCAGAGGTCGCGGCGTCGCCTGGGTAGGAGGAGCAGAACCTGCCACAGTGGAAGGGCTGGGGCAGGTCAGTCGGAGCTGTCCCCATCCGTGCCACTGTCTGGAGTGGGTGGTAGGAGGGGTCTCCGGCGTGAGCGTTTGACCCGACGTGGGAGCATCAGCAGCCTCCTCTTAAGCACAGCTATGGAGGGGGTGGGAAGCAGTCAAGAGCAGGGAAGCCATGGTGGGTGGGGCAGCTGGGTGAGGAAGGGAACTTCTTACCAGCCACTGTGTCCTGGCTGTCCGTTATGGGGCCCCAGTAGATGCTCTCCCCACGTCGGAAGTTTCTGTGCAGCCGAGTGCAGAGTGTGGCCAGGGTGAGCAGCACCAACAGGAAGGTCAGGGCCATGGCCGCCCAGGCAGCCTCCTCCGTGCGTGGGGTGGGGCCTCGGGCTGCCCGAGGAGGTGCTGCTGCCCGAGGGGCCGGGAAAGCCTGGCTTGGACAGGCACAGCCACCTGGGCTGCTTTGCCCTTCGAGCACCTGAGTCTCTAACCTGGAACTAGCACTGCCTCCAGGCCCCCCAGGCAGCAGGGGGGCAGTGGGCACAAATGGGGCATTACCTCCCTCATCTGAGGTTCCCAACATGGGCTGCCTGGTCTCCAAGTTACATGGGGAAGCAGAGGGGGGCCTCAGGGCTGAGGGAGTGGGCTGGTGACCAAGGGCAGCCCGCAGCCCACGCCTCCTGGCACCACTAGGAGAGTGCTGCTTGGGCCCTCTAGATGCCACCTCTGTGCCCAGGGGCTGCCAGCTCCGCAGGGTAAAGGCCAAAGCCCGGGCCTAAGGGGAGAAAAGACAACGCTCATCCTTTCTCTGCCCAGATAACCCAATGACCATACCATCAACTAAACCTGGGCCCAGCACCCCTTACCTACATACACCTCACCGGCACAGCCTCGCTCTGCTCAATGTTGGCACCAAGAGAGGGCCCTGAAAGGCTGCCAGAGGGGAACCGTACCTTCTTCCTGTGCTTCTTCCGCCGCCTTCTCTTCAGCCAGTAGGCAACCCAGGCAGGCTCCACCCATGCCATCTCCAGTACCACCCCCCATGCTTCCAATACCAGGGGCTATGAAAGAAATGAGGTAATTGTTAGAGCTAAGATGAAGGTGGGAAAAGAGCTAGAGGAAGTCCTGAATTTTCCTCCCTGCACATGGGGCTGCAGCCTTTGCCAGTGAGTGCCAGATAACTGAATATCACCAACCACTTACCCGATCCTGAGTGAGGCTAGAGTCAGGAGCAAGTGAGGGCTGGGCCATATAAACGTGGGCCAGGAGGGAAAGCTGGAGCTTCAGCCAGGGGTGGGCACAGGGGTGGTAGAGGAAGCTGACATCCTCACCCTGGAGAAAAGGCATGGAGACATCAAGCCAGGCCCAGTCCTTCCCTAAGAATCCCAAGTCCTCCCATCTTGGGGGCCAGGTTAAAGGGACTCCCAGGATGGCCACATGACCCTTCCACTATCAGGGTTCAGGAAAGGACAAAGGGCCCTGGGTACTGGCATGTACTCCATCTTGCATCTGAGCATTCTTTTCACCCCTTCTCTATCAAGTGCCACCCCTCAGAGCTCACAGCTTCCATGACAGCATGCCAGGTTGTCCCTGTCAGATTCTGACCACACTAGTTAGCTGTGCACCTGCAATGATGGCTCTACAGGTCCCCAGACTAGACTGCAAGCATCCCCTATACAGAGACCAAGTCTTCTTGTCACCGATCCTATCTATATAGTAAGTCTCCAAAAGCATCCAAATACAGGGCACACAGGCAGCAGGTGCACAATCCCAGGAGGGAAGCACTTCAATTATTAGTTCTTTGATTAAGCTGACCTGATGCTCAGCACTGTGCCAGATGCTGTAGGAGATGCCAAAAGAGAACTCCTGGACTCTGCTTGCAGGGAATGTAAAGAAAACTCAGGGAAACAGAACTAAGGCAAATGAAAGAACAAACTAATAAAACTCAAACTGATTACTTAAGCTATGAGATAAGTTATAAGCATTACACAAATTTGGAGAAGGTGATGAATAAGGGCTGATGTGATCAGGCAAGGTCCCAGTGCAAGCTGACTCCTGCACTGGGCTTTGAAGATGGATGGATATGGATGGCAGCTGGCCAGGGAGCTGCCTGCCTCAGCTTCAGGTCAAGATAGGACAGGTGTGGAGAAAACGCAGGAGCAAAGGTACAGCAGTAGGAATAAGACTGGCATTCATGTGCGGTGGGGGAGCAGACCAACAGGGCTGGAGAGAAACCACAAATTTGAAACGGTCAGACAAGGCTTATCTAACTAGGCAGGGCCTGGAAAACCAGGCAACGGAGTATGGCCATGATAAGGTGGGAAATAAGGAGCCATCGAACGCTTCTGAACAGTAAAACGGCTTAATGAAAGGGCTGTTTGAGGTGGAATGAGGTCTCTTGGCCCGGAATGATTACAAGAGACCTGAAACTGCCACAAAGATCCAAAAAGTGAGATTTTTCAAGAGGAAAACCAAAGGAACATGGCAGCTGTCTGGACACTGGCAAAAACAGAAAGGCAGCCATGCAAGGTGAACCCACAGTTTGGAGCCTAGTAACCTGAGGCACACTCCTTACACAGTACAGCTTTGTACTTTCCGAAGAGCTGTCACACACTCTGCACTCGACCCTCGTGGGTAGGGAGGGGTACTACGGAAAACCGGGGCCCACAGAAGCTGGGAGACTCCACACAATCACACAGCAGAGCTGGGAAATGAGTTGTTTTTCCCCTACTATCCCCAGAGCTCCTCGCAGCCTTCTGCCCACACAGCCAGCTAGCTACTCCACGGCCTTCCCGACACAGCACTGTGTGGCCAAAGGACGGAGGCTTTTGGCTCACGGTGGGGACTAAGGACATTGCCTCTTCCTGAAGGCAGTGGTAAAGAATGGAGCTGATGAGCAGAAAAGACAGAGAAAAACCGCAAATGCAGTCACCAAGAATGGCTCCTGTGGTACTTACCTGCCGTGGGCTCATCCGTGTGTAGGTCACTCTTGGTGACACCTATACATGGGGAAAGAAGAAAACTTAAAGCAACTGGGAGACTCCGTGGGTCGTGGGGAAGGAAGAGCAGGCCCCGCGCCCCCAGGTTGGGATGAAGACGGAAGACGCTGGCGACTGAGGGACGGAGAACCCGCAGAAGTCCTCAGAGGGTGACTGTGGAGGGTGCAGAGGCCAGGACGGAACGGGCTACCCCTTCACACCCTTTCTCACACCGCCCTCCAGGCTCCTACCTGTTGGGGAAGGGGCCACAGGCCCTCCGGACAACGGGCTCCCGCCTCCTCCCCCGACTCAGCCATCACCTGTGGGTCCAAGGCGCAGACGGGCTAGGGCGCTGGTCCCGGCGAGGGCCCTGCCTTTGCCCAGTCCGGGCAGGCCCAGCCCGCCAGGGGAGGGATCCCAGCCCTCTCTCCTCGGGCCACTCCTTCCCGAACGAACTTTCGGCCAAGCGCTCTGAGATCCCGGCCGAAGCCTTCTCGGGAGCGGGCCGCCTTACCTCAGTGGGACTCAGGAGCCCCGCCAGAGCTGCCAGGAGAAGCAGCTGGGGCGAAGGCTGAGGAGGCGCCATCCCAGGCCGAGCCCGCCGCCCCAGCCAGAGAGGGAGGGACTGAGCGCGCGCCGCTCCGCCCCCGCCTTCTCCGCGCCCCCACGCGCCCCCACGCGCCCACGTAGACCCCGGGCTCGCGCCGTTCCGCCGCCCGTACAGGATCGCGCACCCAGACACCCTGGACCCACAAAACCCCCGCCCCGCCCCGCCCCGCCCCGCCCCCACAGCGCCGCTAGGCTCTCGCCCCGCCCCCACAGCTCCGCGAGGCTCCCGCCCCGCCCCCGCCCCGCCCCAATGCCCGCCCACTGCCGCGGACAGCGCGCGCACGCGTCGCGAATCCCAAGCCGGAAAAGTTTTGTGTGCGAGCCGGGCCCAAGCACTGCGCGCTGCGAGGCAGGCGAGGACCACCTCCTCTGCTCGGTTTTCGTCGAATTGGGTCTCCGCGGCCTGCAGAGCGCAGCTGCAGTGCTTGGGTGGGATCATGGAGGGGAACGAAGGGCGCGAATGGAATCCCTGTGGACCAGATGGCCCAGGAGGGAAACGGGTATTCTCCGACAAACTCGCTTCAGACCCATCAATGTGCAGAAGGACAGAATCACAAAGTCCGAGCTGCGGAAGAAGATTTCCCGCACAAGAGCCTCAACTTCAGCCCATCCCACTCCTGCCCTCGAAAATAGGGCCCAAACCCAGAGGAGCTCGGCGGGAGAGGGTCTCAGACCTCCAGCTTCCTCACACCCAGAAGCTCTGGGAGGCCGGAGTCGGCCCGGTGCCGCTCTGTTCCCTCCGCCTCCGCTGTCGTTCGTTGGCCAGAGTGTGCCCAAGGAGACACTGGTCACCACAGTGAGATGGAGAAACCACAGGCCTCTCCCCCAGCACCGCGCGGTGGCCACACCTCCCCTGCAGCGGGGCGCCGCCTCTGCCGCCCTCTCCCTGGTCCCCTTCTCCTTGGCCCAGCTCAGGATTTTTGAGGGAAGACGGAAACGTGGGTGGAGGGTGAGGGTTGAGATATCTAGTCCAAACTTCCAAATAGAGCAAGAACGGGTTATCTCAGTCATCTCTCACATACTTGTGACTCACAAGGGGGTCCCTAACCCTTTCCCCGTCACCCTAGCAATTGCCGGCCACTGAGCTGGTGGACTCCAATCTACTCCCTGCCACAGCCCCATCACAGGGTGACAGGCATCTCCCTCCCCCAGCACCTGAGTGCATCTTCTCCCCCAGCTTTTTCTCGGAGGCCTGGGGCTTTTTCATCTGGGGACGTCCTTCCTGGAGAGCGGTTTTATAGATTTCCTCTATCTGAAACCAGGCTCTTGTGGGGGACGAAGGAGGGGACAGCGCACTGATGCAGGGAAGGGAAGGCGCAGCCCACCGGCACTCTTGCCTCCAGGCGCAGACCCGCCGGCTCCGGTCCTCGCAGGCCCGGAGCCAGACCCCCGCCCGACCGGGGTGTTGCGCAGTTGCTGGTGCCCACAGGCCGAGAGAAACCCCAAGGTCACAGAGCGCGGCCGAGCCCGGGGAGGGAGGCGCGACTGGTGGCTTCGCCTGCAGTTCGCAGAACCCGAGAGCCCGCTCTGGGAGCTGTGGTTTATTCACTTCTCCCTTTTGCTATTTTTCAACAGCGGCCCCTGAGGACGCAGCGACGCAGGGTCTCACTCGCCGCTACACACCATGCAGGGCGGAGGGGGGACGGGACTCAGGATCATCCCGGTCCCCAAAGCCTCGGTCTCGGAGTCTCCCCACTTCTCTTCTGCCAACACCCCACTCCACGCTTCCCTGCCCTCCCCACTCCTTCCGGCTCGCCGGCGCGTCCTTGCTCCCTCTGTGGCCTCGGTTCCTTTCACCCTCTGCTCCTGCTTGTCGCAATCGCTGTACAAAGGGCCGGGGGCGGGAGTGGGGGGCGGACGAGGGGAGCCAGGCCCGAACTGGCTGCCTCTGCGGTGCCGCGGCCAATCCGGAGAGCCCCCCCCCGCCCCCCGCGCGGGAGGGCCCTGGGCAGCCGCCCGCCGCCGGGCGGAGCCGCGGGCAGAGCGGGGAACTCGCTGAGGCGACTGCCCCATCGCTTGCCGCCTTCTGTCCGCCGCCCGCCGCCCGCCGCCCGCCGGGGGCTCTCCGGCCTCGCCATGCAGCCGTGGGGCGCCGCCCTCGCCCTGCTCCTGGCCGCGCTCGCCCTGCTCGGCCTGCTCGCCCCAAGTCTGCGACGCCTGGGGAGGCGCGCCGTCGGAGCCAGGACCCTGCTGGGGGCTCGGACCCCGGACGACGAGGAGGAGGTGGACAGCGGAGGCCCGGCGGACCAGTTCAGTAACGAGCGCGAGCCGCTGCCCGGCGGATGCAGGCTCATCTGTAAGCCGTCGGCGCTGGCGCAGTGCTTGCTGCGCGCCCTGCGACGCTCGGCAGCCCTGGAGCCGGGCCCGCGCTCCTGGCTCTCTGGGCCCCACCTGCAGACCCTCTGCCACTTCGTGTTGCCCGTGGGGACCGGGCCTGAGCTGGCCCGGGAGTACCTGCAGTTACCGGACGACGGGCTGGTGGCCCTGGACTGGGTCGTGGGACCTTGCGCCCGGGGCCGCCGAGTCACCAACGCCGGGAGCCTTCCGGCGGTGCTGCTAGTGATCCCCAATGCGTGGGGGCGCCTCACCCGCAACGTGCTCGGCCTCTGTCTGCTCGCCCTAGAGCGCGGCTACTACCCGGTCATCTTCCACCGCCGCGGCCACCACGGCTGCCCTCTGGTCAGCCCCCGGCTGCAGCCTTTCGGGGACCCGTCCGATCTCAAGGAGGCGGTAACTTACATCCGCTTCCGACACCCCGCGGCCCCGCTGTTTGCGGTGAGCGAGGGCTCGGGCTCGGGGCTGCTGCTGTCCTACCTGGGCGAGTGCGGCTCCTCCAGCTACGTGACGGGAGCCGCCTGCATCTCGCCGGTGCTGCGCTGCCGCGAGTGGTTTGAGGCCGGCCTGCCCTGGCCCTACGAGCGGGGCTTTCTGCTCCATCAGAAGATCGCACTCAGCAGGTGGGTAAGGGAGGCCGCAGACCGGTACGGGGAGAATTGGGGTCTTGGGCTAGCAGAGACACAGCTCTGCCTGATAGTGACTCAAACAGGTCTAGGGCAATTTGGGCAAAGTTCTCCTCACACACTAGCTGAAACCGTCCAAACCCTCTAGTCTAGACAGAACCAAGGAAGCCGGTTTAAAATCCATGGACGACTCAGCATCATTATACTAAGCAGGGCCTCCTGCCCCTGGGGCCCCTGGCCTCACCTCAGCCCCACCGTGTCCTAGCAACCTGAGCACCTGTCCCACCCACAGCAGAGGCAGTGCCTGACATTTACCACTTAGTCTGTAGCTTGTCAAGTCAGCAAAGAGGGCTCTGGAAGCAATCGCAACTGATGATGTGTCCAGAATGTTCCCTAATAGCCTTTGAGCCTGGAGGTGACAGAAATAAAAAATTTGGTGGTATTTGATTTATTAAAATTTTTTAGACCTAACAAATCTTTTGCTTATTCCTAGGTATGTACTCAATATTTAATGAAAAAAAAAATAAATAATATTTTAATATATTTTAATAAAATCTCCAAAAAGAGAACAATCTACCCTATTACCAGGGAGACAGGTGAGACTTTTCCACCTAGGAGGCCTGAGCGACATCCCCCAGCACAGACCCAGGCCTCGGCTTGCACTGGCTCTTTTCTAGGAAATGGCAGAAAGAGGTCAAAGACATGATGGCAGCAGTGTGGTGTGGCAGGAAGACCTGTGACCTGGATTCAGGCCCCTAGGGTTCAAATTCTGACTTTCCAGCAAGTTAGTGAACTCCTTGGAGCCTCACTTTTCTCTTCAGGTAACAGAGTTAACCACCTCCCAAGGTAGGTAGTCATGAGCATGAAATGAGATCATGGAAGTGAAGCCTTGGCGTGCATGCTCAATAAATGGTGGCAATTGTGATTTCCCTATCTTTTCTTGCCCCACTTGGCCTCCTGTTCTGAAATCAAACCCTGAGCTCAACGATAGCCCTCTGCCGTGGCAACCCAGAGCTCCCCGAGCAATCCGGGGCAAGGCACTCTCCTATGGCTTCATTGCCAGCTTCCATCCCCAATGACCACCGCTAGCATGGACCCCGGGTACCACGTGGAGGTTAAGGTGAGGGAAGTGGAAAGGAAACCTGAGCCTTTAAGCAACTGCCCTGCCCTTAGCACTTTGGGACTAAAACCTTGGGGCGAGCATCTTTGAATGTTTGCAAGTGACACACCCAAATCCAGCGGGCTAATGCTGGACTGCTCCATCCAGAGGTCTGAGCTGCCCATCTGGGCTTCCTCATCGGGTCCCACCCTCTCCAGGGACATGGCAACAGCAAAGATGTCTGTCTTCCCCAGAAGAGTTGCTTTCGGGCTCTTGTTTGGTAACTCACCCCATAAATTAATTACACTCATTTCTTCTGCAATTTAGCCCTCTCTAGGAATACCTTCTCCACACATTCATTTGTCATTATCTGGGTAGCATATTGGCTTCTAAAGTACAAACAAACTAATACAACCTAAAGTAAAAGGTTCATCATGGAGGGGGTGACACCTGCTGGTTTGGATAGTCTGAGCCAGCGAATTCTTCTAGGAGGGTTTCCGGAGGTGCAGTTCACTGCAGGTTCCCCACAGAGGGTCAGGAGCTGAGGTCAGGCAGAGAGCTGCCCCTGTAGCACAGCAGCCTCGAAGTCAACAGCTGCCCCAGGGCTGGGCAGGCGGTGCTGCGAATGACAGGCCTGGTAGGAACTGTGACACAGGAAGGAGGGAGAAAGTACTTTGATTGTTGCCCCCAGGAATGTCAGCCCGTGTTGCCATTCGTCTAGAGGAGACGGATAGCTGCATTTGAAATGATGACCATGAAACGAAATTTTTAGAAACATATGGCCAAAGAAAGCCTCTGTGGCTAGAATCTGGCCTGTCGGCTGCCACTCAGTAACTACTACTGTCAGTTTGTTTTCCGATCCTTCCCTGACTTTCTTACCCTCCCTATTCAACTCCTTGTTGCCAGGTACGCCACAGCCCTGGAGGACACGGTGGACATCCGCAAACTGTTCAGGAGCTGCTCCCTGCGAGAGTTTGAGGAGACCCTCTTCTGCCACACCAAGAACTTCCCCATCAGCTGGGACACCTACTGGGACCACAATGACCCCCTCCGGGATGTGGACGAGGCGGCCGTACCTGTACTGTGCATCTGTAGTACTGACGACCCTGTGTGTGGGCCCCCAGACCTCTTTCTCCCCACTGAACTCTTTCACAACAACCCCTACTTCTTCCTCCTGCTCAGTCACTACGGAGGCCACTGTGGCTTCCTGCGCCATGAGCCCTTGCCAGCATGGAGCCATGAGGTCATCTTGGAGTACTTCCGGGCCTTGACTGACTTTTTCCGAACAGAAGAGAGGCTGAAAGGGTTGAGCAGGCACCGAGCTTCATTGCTAGGGGGCCGGCGTCGCTGGGGAACCCTGCAGAAGCGGGAGGTCTCTCCCTCTGCCAGTCTGGAGGAGATCTTTAGCTGGAAGCGATCATACACAAGGTGAAACCTGGACAGAGACCCCCCCACCCTGTCCCCATTTTGCAAAGAACAGAGCTGAGCTTGGCAGAGTCCTGAAAAAGTGGTAGGGACTGAATGGAGCAAGCAGCTCCAGCTCTTTGCCGCTGATTCAGCCCCTTCTTCTGTTCCGGTTTGTGGAAAGAGACAGAACTTCCAGCTAGCTGCCACTTACTTTACCCCAAGCCTGCCCAGGCTTTCCTCAATACATTTTTGCTCATCCTGGTCAGCAGCTGAACATCACTGTCTCCTATGACCAACCTCATACGCCAAAGATTAGCACCATTTGAACCCATGGACTCAGGATAAAATGCTCTCCCCCTAGCAATGACTACAGAGAGGATGAGTTTCTGTGTGTCACTGGGCAGCTCTGTGACCCTGCCTCTCAAGTTGGAGCCACTCAGTGTAGTGAAGACAGGATGTTTGTGTCTGGGTCCCACTTCCCTCATTTCATTGTGCGGTTGTGCCATTCTGCTGACTGCATGCGGTGGCAGCAGTGAAAGTGGGCTGTGTCTGTCTTGTGTGGGTACGGGAAAGGTGGCAGAGGCAGTAAGTGCAGTGCCAAGACGGAGTCGGTGAGCCCCAAGGTAGAGATTGTGACTGCGTGTCTAGAATACAAGGGTCCAGCCTTCCAGACATTTCTGCAGGTCTCTGTTGGGAATGGGGCTGATCTGTGGCTTGAGCCTAGGACCTCGAACCTCACTGGACAGATCCCAAGGATGATTTTAGGAACAGGAAGTCCTTGAACAGTTTGCTAGACCATGGCTCAAGGAGCCAGACTTTCAGGCACTGTGGCTGCTCCCTCTGGTACCATTCCTGGGGATTATTACTCCAGAGAGCTCTGGCCAAAGCTGCTCTTCTTCTGTAATATGGGCTTTCTCTAAGTGGTGAAAAGTATAAACCCCATGTCTTAGGTGTTTTCCAGTTAGCTTCCCTCTCTTCTGACACTACTACTAGCCTCTGTCTCTCCAGAACCTGGAGAGACATCTGGGACCAGGCAAAACAAAAAGTTCCAAGAGGTTGGCTAGAACTGACTCAGTAATGGATGAATATTTCACATTACTATGCTTCTTCTGCTCAATTATTCAAAAGGCCATTCATGTAGATGCAGATAAAGCTTCTTCCTGGATCTGGTCACTCAGTGACCGAGTGGGTATTTGGTTTTATGAGGAATACTGCTGAAGACCAGCATAAAACAAAACATTGTACACACCGCCCCACACGTCCTGGTTTGGATCAGTCCGTTAAACAACACAACAGGACATCTGCTTCCACGTGCTGCTAAGAGCTTTGCCCTGAAGTTTTATTTTGATTTCTCTTTGAGAAAGAGGAAACCTATATATTTTTTAATTTTTAAATTATTTTTAAATTTAACCTTTATTGTATTTTTTTTCCCTGAGGGCACCTGTTTCGACTGGAAGCCCCATCCTAGCCTCACAAACAGCAAAGCAATTTTAAAGAGGAGAGGTGTTTACTGAAGCTGTGTCCTAATCCTTCGTACAAGGACTTCCTGGGGCCATGATTTTAGATTTTGATAATCTTAAGCCTTGTTCTTCTAGAGCAAATAAGGAATTCTGAACTATCCAAGAATCTAAACTGAAAATGCAGACAACACTCAATTGTCCAAGGCACATTCTTTTGTCATGACAAAATGGCGTCCCTCCTTCCCCTCTTCTTGCTCTTCATCCTCCTCCTCTTCCTCCACACTCCTCATCTGAAGGTCTTTCACCATTTCCGAGCAGGAGAAATAACAAGGAACTGAAACCTAAAGAAGACATTCATTGCTGGTTAACCGCCTCTGTATGAGACTCGGTGAGGGAGAATTACTGGCATTGGCCCACCTTCTGCAGCATCAGCTACAGTGGGAATCTCAGTTAATTAGGGTCCTGCAGTCCCGTGTGCAGGACCCCAGGATCATTCTGAACTGACTACAAAATGGGAAGCAGCCACTGGTTTTTAAACTCTCCCGTTTCTGACTTAAATGTCCCCCAAAGGCTAAATCTATATTTTCCCTAGGCCAGATATGCTGGGACTTTGGTTCTTTAAGACAATAGCTTTTTGAGAAATTGTGGTTGATGCCCCTTTCCTTTTACAGGAAAGAAAGTCTGCAGGGTGGGGTATGTGTGTATATACATCTATCTCTATATCTATCTACTTATCTATCATCTATATGTGCTGACAGAGTTATCGTCTGAAAGCCCTTAGGTAGGCATGACAGCCCTAGTCCAGGCTCCATGAATTACCTCAGACCCACAATCCTAATGACCTAAATCAGCGATTTTCAACCTTTTCCATCTCATGGTACACATAAACTAATTACTAAAATTCTGTGGCACACCAAAAATATATTTTGTTTTTGCCAATCAGACCCCCCCAAAAAAAACCTGGTATAATTTTTTATTGATTTACACACAAAAATAATAATAGTAATTACCTACTTTTTTTTTCTTCAAAGTGACTTTTTAAAAAATCAGATGCCTATACTTATATATAAGAATTTTTAGCCCAGACTGGTGTGGCTCAGTCAGGGATTGAGCGCCGGCCTGCGAACCAACACATTGCTGGTTCAATTCCTGGTCAAGGCATATACCTGCATTGCAAGCTAGGTCCCCTATGGGGGCATGCTAGAGGCAGCCACACATTGATGTGTCTCTCTGTCTCTTTCTCCCTCTCTTCCCCTCTCTAAAAATAAATAAAATATTATAAAAAAGAATTTCTGGTACCAAGAATTAACCATACACAACCTTATTATGCAACGTGACCAGTAAGATTCAACTCTATTGTATGACCTGTATGCTTATGTTCAAGACAGGGCACTCACACCAGACACCTATTGTTCTGTTAGCTATTGTCACTTTTTGGACAATCTAAGGGAAGAGAAGTCAGAGTCCCTGGCTACATAGACAAGTATTGCATGTTTTAAAAATTCTTGCAGCACACTCGTTGAAAATCGCTGACCTAAACCTGTATTTCTCCTCCGTGCCCTGTGTGCCAGATGTGCTCATAGCCTATCTCAGGAAGCTACTTCTCTCCCATCTTCCCCTCATTGCTTGACAACATCCCTGCCTTTCAGTTTATTTTTGTCAAGAAAGTGTAGTTCCTGTACCAAAGGGTTTGAGTGACCCTATCCTTCCATCTGATGAGGGAATCACCCAAATGGCTCTGCTTTGGTTAATAGCTAATTATATGAAATCAGCTTGAGCAGCACCAGACACACTGTTCTGAGTGAGTGTGTGGCCCTTGAACAAAATGACAAGTTAGGAGTTTGAGGAAGCAAGAAACGAAGAAAACAAAACCCTAAGAAGCACAACTGAGTTGGAGTCTTCCAGGTAGTAAGGCTTCACCAACCCTGTCAGGCCTCTTCACTTGCTTGAAACCCTTTTGGTCTTTTCATTATTTATGAACACCTTCAAATGATTTAAAAAACACACAAAAAAACCTCCCACTGATTTAAGGGAGGCATTATCTCAGAAGTAGAGACTGAGTCCTCTGTCTCCATTCATTGCATGAAAATGCAGGAAGCAGACAACTGCCTCTGAACTTTGAGTTCTACTAAGTTCTGACCTCGGACACCCAAGACTGTGCTAAGCTATAGCTTAATTCCTTTACAGATTTGGTGTTTTATGTATTTATACATAGGTTTCCAGGGAGGCCTGGCTGGAGTCAACAGTATGAAAAACAAAGCTCCAGATCCTCTGAGAAGACACCAACTCTGTTTTAAAAGCAGATATCTTTTCTGAAACAAGTACTATTAGAAAAGAGGTCTTGACACAGGAAGTATTATCTTGTCTTTATATGTAACCTCAAAACCACCCCTGCGTCAGAAGCCCCTCTGTACTCACCTTCCATCCAGACCACAAGATCCTTTGTGTCAGTCACCCTTAGTCATGCCAACATCTCCTCCTTTACAAATGAACTTTAGCATGAATTCTTGTTTAAACAAGCAGATACACTTGGCCACTTTAGTATGACTTGGTAACAATGCCAATAGGAGTATTTTTAACTCTACAGCCAAGCCCAAAGATGGCATCAGAAATTGTTTTCACTAGTTACCGCAATTGGCAGAGAGGAGACGGAGGAGTTATCCCCAGGGAGCGAGCATCCAACTGCCTGGATATGGCACGAATGCCTCAGGAAGGAGTTCCACATGATTTGTGGGATAGGCAAGCTACACTGCAACTTGGCTCACATCATGGAGAGGACATGTGCCAAGAAATAAGCGCTCTTCTCATCTGAAAGTTGGTGAATTAAAATAATGCTAATGAGCTCAGTGAGTTGTAAAGACTTCTGGTTGATTTAAGGGCTTGAGGATGAGAAGATCACAGACCTGACCAGGATTCTGGCAGTTAGGAGATGACATAAAGATTTTAATGAAAACAACCCTGCCAAAGTGAACAGAAGATGTCTGTAAGCTATCCAATAATCATGCTCTAGTCAAAGTGTCCAGGAAGGGCTGCGAGTTGAAGGAAAAGTAGAATTTCATTAAAACAATGAAAGATACTAACATATCAAAAATAAATGTCTCTAGCCCTTCCGGCCCTCCTGTTTAATAAGGCACTACCTTGCCATAGTGTTATCTACCACTAGTGTGGTTGAACAAAAATCTATCTTGTTTGCCTCTGAATAGCAAATAAATTGCGGTCTCCCTGCAACAATGGAATGTCATTATTTTTCAAATCTCCAGAAACAAATGTGCTGTTTGAAGCCCTCTGTGTACCAAGCCATACTTACCTACCTGTGGAGTTAACAGAGCCTCCCTGTACATTCTCTGTGCGCTGGTGGTTGCTTCCCTGCTGTAGATGTAGCTTTGTGTCCCTAACACGAACCAGTGGCAGCTGTTTAATAAAAAACCAGGCCTCCTACTCTGGGCTAATAATTTCCCAGCAGGTTCAAATTCCCTGATTCTCAAAAGTACTTACATAGAGATATTTTCCAGTGGGCAATCAGTAATTTGTGCATTGGCGAGAGTTCTGAATAGGTAGTTTGGGGGGTGGTTCTAGTTTGTACTCCATCAGTGACTCCTGTCCTTGGAAAAGTTATTTGAGTTTTTCCATATGAAAAGACTGAGACTGTGAATAGGCCTTAATTTAGGTCTGTTAGGATATGAGATAGTAAAAGCAGGTAGACCCCCTTCTGCATGTCTATTAATTTCTTGACTGGAGCTCAAAGACCTCTTCGATGACTCGCATCGCTTTCAGATCTGACCCTGTTCTCGAATTCTTACAAGGCCATGAAGTTCCAGTTATTAATTCCACTGTGAAGTTGGGAAGGGCCTGGAAGAGCAGCACCTTTTGAGGCTCACGGGCTGGGTCCTGGGTTGCCCAACTGAGGGTAGTCTCTCTACCACCAGTCCAAACACACACATGCACTCTGATAACCATGTCGTGTCGGCTAACAGGTTTTGCATTGGTTCATTTGTTCCGGCCCAAAACCATCTGTTTTCTTATTTCTCAGAGATGAAGCAACTTTCAAGATCTCACAATTAGTGTAGTGGGGCTAAAGACCAGAACTCAAGCCACTGCCCTTTATGCCGTACTTATTTGCCTTTTCCTAGTCAATCACTGGCTGAGGTGACAGTAAAAAATGCTCATTTTAGACTTCATAATGTAAAGGACAGTAACATGAGGGGAAACAATGTGTCTTTGGAGCTCCTGGAATGTACAGTTCCATGGGGGAGCTATACACATTATAAATGACACTCTGAAATTTACTGTATAGCTTGCATAGCCTTAGCACCTCAGTAACCTTGTCTATCTCTATCCATTAAGGTCTGGCCTTAGCTGATGGGCTCAGTGGATTGAGCACTGGCCTGTGAATCAAAAGGTCACCAGTTCAATTCCCAGGACGTATGCCTGGGTTGCAGGCCAAGTCCCCCAGTTGGGGGCATGCAAGTATCAACAAATGATGTCTCTCTTTCTCTTTCCCTCTGAAAATGTCTAAAAAAAAAAAAAAAAAGAAAAAAACAAATTTCTCAAAACATGGTGTCAATTCAAGTCACTAATTGTCCATGAGGCATACAGAGAACCTTAGTTCCACAGCTGACACCAATGAGATGCCAGTGATAGCACTAGCCTATAATCATTATGTTCAAATTTCTTTTGAAAATTAAACTAGTAAATGTTAACCTCAAAACAGCTCAATACCAACATTCTGGGAGTTAAAAAGCTATACTAAAAAGTTAAGGGTGCCATTTTTCTGACAGCCTTCTGCTTAATACAGCAGGTAATCTCAATTATACTTTAAAAAATGACATTTCAGACACTTAAGCCCTGACCGGTGTGGCTCAAAGGTTGCTTGTTATTCCATCAAGGCACATGCCTGGGCTGTCACCCAGGTCCCCAGCTGGGGGTGTGCAGGAGGCAACTGATGGATGTCTCTCACACGTCAATGTATCTCTTTCTTGCTCCTTTCCCCTCTAAAAATAAATAATCTTTTAAAAAAAGACACTCAAGACCATTTTCTAATTAAAAACACGTAAACCCCAGCCCATAAATCTTCCCCACCCCAAATTAGCTTTCTGACAAAAACAAACAAAAAACACAAAAAACGTCACTTTAAGTGTTTTAAACAGAACTAGATTGTATATTCTGCTCCATATAGGGCTGAAATGTGATTTTTCACATCTGGGAAGATAAGCCCAGATGAAGCCACCTTTTGGTTTTGTACAATGTCCAAGAGCTGCATACATCTCTGTGTGGGAGGAGTTGTAGTTATATAGACCACAAATAGGTCTATATTAAATTTAAGGACTTGCATTAAACTGCTAGAACCTAAAAAATCACCTGACACTCATAACACAATAGACCACTTCACTGTCTGGCAAATAGAATTTGAGGTAATTGGACTAAAGGGTTTCTATCTGTATCAGGGAGTTTTACTCTTACCCCTACCTTACTCATTTTTATATCTCAACATCCAGCACAGTGCCTGAGATTCAGTAATTATCCAAGTCTCTGAATTGAATATACTTTATGGGGATAAAATTATTTTTTAAAAGATTTTATTTTTTGAGAGAAGGGAAGGCACAAAGAGAAACATCAATCGGTTGCCTCTCACATGCTCCCAACCAGGGACCTAACCTGCAACCCAGGCATGTGCCCTGACCAGGAATCCGACAGGTGACCTTTTGGTTTGAGGAATGAGGTGCAACCCACTGAGCCACAGCAGTAAGGGCAGGATGAAACTACTTTAAGAAGAACTGAGCAGACACTGTGTACTAAAATTACTTTATTACAGTTGATTTTTTTAAACATTTCCTTTGCTATTATACAAAGGATACTTACAAACAAAATATTACATATGACCTTGTTTTCGCTCTTATGTTCTGACAACTTGGTAACAGCTTTAAATGCACAATCTATACAATTAATACAGGTTATATAAGAACTATAAGGTATGTTGAACCAGAAGAATACTGACAATATACTGTACAATAAGCCTTACCAGTTAGTGCTGTGGACCATTTCTACCAGAAGGAAAATGCACATCTGTACAGTCACCTTTACCAGCTGGTGCTGACAGTGAGGGAGAGGCTTCTTCCCCATTGCAACCCTTGATAAGCCTCCACTGTGGGCGTCTGTTTGGTCCGAAAATTGAGAGGACTGTGTATATTTAAAATTAGTCATCTGTAAAGTGGCAGAACGTCACTTTCAAGATGATAATCTCACACACACAAAAAAAACCCTACCCCAAAACAACGAACCAGTCCTAGTTTTAAAAGACCACAAGTCCTTCGTCCACTACAAAAACCCTACAGGCTCAAGGGCTTTAGGAGATGAGAAGATGTAGGCTGCCAAAAAAGGAGGCAAGAAACCAAGTCAAAATCTAGGTCTTGCAAAATCATCATTTTTCCCTTCACCAAAGGGAACTAGAAATGTACAAATTCATTGATGAACCTCAATGATAACATTATCAGTTTGCTGATAACCCTCATTTTATCTGGACCCGACTTGTGGGAATAACTGAAAGAGATTGTGAATAATATACACCACTTTTAGAAAAGAACATCCTGCTTAGTTAAAACATTCCCTTTAGCCACCAAAGCTGGTCCTGGGCTATTACAGGTGTGCATTCATCTCTCAATGGTCTACTCAGAAATGATAAGGTTACAGCTTTTTTTTTCTTTTCTTTTTTTTCTTTTTTAAATAAAAAAAGCAACTGACTGAAGCATTTTTCTTTTTTAGGTAAATAGCAAAAATAAAAATAAAAAACCAACCCTGGCATTTGCACAAATAATGCAAATGGAGCGATATGGCCTTCAAAGTAAGGGGTTAGTAGAAAGGAAGAGAGAAGTGAAGAAAACCCAGAGAAAATGATGTATTAATTTTCTTTTTAAAAATTTCTACAATACATGTGCAAAAAAATCATGCTGGTTGAAGAAAACAAAGGGAAATGAATATATAAAATTAAAAACATAAATAATATGTTTGGATGACTGGTAAAAGCAGAAACCAACCTGGGTTACAAAAAGGATTATACATTCAAGATGCTCTTAAACCCAGTGGGATAACTTACGTTAAAACTGTGTTAATAGTTACGTTAAAAATCTCAAGTTTGTTTTTAAATCTTCACAATACAAGCAAAGCTGTTTTAAAATATACACTATACATATTTCTCATAGTCTCTCCAGCCTCATTAATGCGCATTAGGCTATCTTTTTCATATACTAAAACAAGGGGGTTCTGAAAGCTAAACTGCTCAGAGTAACCCATCCATTATTTAAATGTTTGTCTTAAGTTTTAAATGGGTTAAAAAATTTAGCAGACTTACATAAATAGGATTTAGCAACACAAGTGTTAATTTAAAAAACTCTAAAGCATTTACAAATTATCAGGTTGGAATAGTCTGGGGGAGTTATGTGCACTATTATTTTAAAACGTTATTTACATCAGACCATCACTTTCGTAAAAATTTCCCTAAAAGATGAAAAGTAAAGTAAATTTGGAGAATTAACCTATTCTAACCTCGCAGAGAAGGATCATAAAAGGAAAGGTAAAATAAGAACAAAGTTACCTCTTAACAGAAACCCCACATATTCCTCTTCCCTTGGATTTCGCTCTATGAAACCACCTGCAATTTCCTAATAGGCTCATACATCAAGTGTCAAGATAATGTTGTGGTAAAATACTTTGTCAGATAATTTACTGGCCTCAAGTGGATTTAAAAAAAATTTCTCACCTTGTGACGCTGTTTGGATTATTTTAGGCATGTGTATGTAATTAATTGGAGGGGCACTCTAAGTAGGCACAAGTCCCATTTAATGTAGAATAAAAGTTATAACATTGAATGTTACTAGGGAGGAGAGGTGGTAGTTTCTGTGATATTATGAATGCAAGGAAGCACATGTGGAATGGACACCAAAAGAAGAGCCGTCTGATGACACAGCTGGGGCAGCCCGCATCTTAAACTAAATACACTTGTCTGTGACAAACAAAAGGGGTTTGGAAGGGTCCCAATACCCCTCCCTTCATTTGTTTCAAATGTGCCAAACAGTCACATGGATCCAGAGGCTGCAAATATTAAGCAGTTACATCTTTTTTAATCACACAATTCACTCCATGATCATGGACAATTTATAGTAACAATAATGTTCATGCTGAGTCAATATATTTGCGGGCTCAGAAAAAGCAAAATGTGCCACTGAGAGAAATCTGTTCCCATACAACTGGTCTTCATGCTTTCAAGTGGCCTTAATATACCTGTGGTGCTAAGCCAAGCCATGCAAAAGCAAAGAGCACACACTTTTCATTAACATTCCTATCTCATTTCTAAACTCCACTGAC